AATGTGAAATATCTCATTGGAAAAACAACTGACCTGGAAAATAGATCCAGGAGAGTGAATTTAAAAATTATTGGACTATCTGAAAGCCATGATCAAAAAAAGAGCCTTGACATCATCTTTCAAGAAATTGTCAAGGAAAACTTCCCTGCTATTTTATAACCAGAGGGCAAAATGGGAATGGAAAGAATCCACTGATCACCTCCTGAAAGAGATCCCCAAAGGAAAACTCCTAGGAATATTGTAGCCAAATTCCAGAGTTCCCAGGTCAAGGAGAAAATATTGCAAGCAGCCAGAAAGAAGCAATTCAACTACTATGGAAACACAATCAGGATAACACAAGATTTAGCAGCTGCTACATTAAGGGACCACAGGGCATGGAATATAATACTCTGGAGGGTAAAGGAGATAGGATTACAACCAAGAATCACCTACCCAGCAAAACTGAGTATAATCTTTCAGGGGAAAAAATGGTCATTCAGTGAAATAGGGGACTTTCAAGCATTCTTGATGAAAAGAGCAGAGCTGAATAGAAAGTTTAACTTTCAAATACAAGATCAAGTGAAACATAAAGAGGTAAACAGGAAAGAGAAATCATAAGAGACTTATTAAGGTTGATCTGTTTACATTCCTACATGGAAAGATGATATTGTAACTCATGAGTCCTTTGTCAGTATTAGAGTAGTTGGAGGGAAAAAATATATGTATGTATATAGATAGACAGATAGATAGAGGGCACAGGGTGAGTTGAAGATGAAGGAGTAATAACTGGAGAATAAAATTAAGGGGTGAGAGAGGATTATACTGGGAGGAGAAAGGGAGAGGTAGAATGGGGTAAATTATCTCACATGAAACAGACAAGAAAAGGCTTTTACAGTGGAGGTGAAACAGGGAAAAGTGAGAGGAAATGAGTGAATCTTATTCTCATAGGATTTGGCTTGAGGAGGTAATAACATACACACTCAATTGGGTATGGAAATCTATCTTACCCTTACAGGAAAATAGGGGGCAGGGAAGGGGACATGAGAGCAGGGCGATGATAAGAGGGGAGGACAGATTGGAGGAGGGGATAATCAGAAGCAAACACTTCTGAGAAGGGACAGGGTCAAAAGAAAGAATAGAATAAATGGGGGGGTGGGGTAGGATGAAGAGAAATAGAGTCAGTTTTTCACAACATGACTACTATGGAAGTGTTTTGCATGACTACACATGTATAACCTGTATCGAATTGCTTGCCTTTTCAATGAGGGTGGGTGGGGAGGGAAGAAGGGAGAAAATTTGGAACCCAAAGTTTTAAAAACACATGTTAAAAAAATAAATAAATATACACTTTGCTTTTTGCCTACACTTACTAATACAAATTATTCTCTAAAATAAAATGAAGACTTTCAACACTATGAGGAGAAAAGTTTTTCTTTTTTTGAATTCTTGATAATTGTGTTCTTTGAACACTTGTTAATTCAGAACAATATAATAAAATAATTTACATTTATTTAACAGACATTAAGGGTTGCTACATAAATTTCTTTTGTACTCCCTTAATAGGTATGTGAAAACAGAAATCTTGTCTTTTGTGTTTGTAATAAGCTTCATTTAATGGAATTCACTTTAAGAGTTAAAAAAATAGTGTAAGAATAGGAAATATGGCAATAATTTAAATTAAAATAACAATTCAAAAGTAATAATAATAAAAATAATAAGCTCTATACCAATGCCGCATCATGAAATAGAAGTGACTGGGCTTTCAAATTTATGCCAATAGAAACCAATCTGTAGCACTTCCCAGGAAGTTGGAAAGTTTTTGAGCATAAAGGCCTACTGAAGAATTTTATGTCAAATACATACAATCCTATTGTTTAAGGAAGCATTCCCTTCTCCAGACAAAATATACCTGGTTCTTTCCAACTACTCTTCTATGCTTTGCTTTCCAGTCCTTATACCCTTTTTCTTGATTGCCTCTAGAAATAAATGTCCCAGTTTATTTCTGTTCATCCTCAAATATACTGCCCAGAATCAAATAGACTCCTTCCTCCTTAATCAAAATGTAGGTCTTACCTTGAACCACCTTCCCTTCTGCTCTGATAAACTAAGCCATCTGAACTGATGCTAACCTATCCACATAATAATAATTATTAAGCATCAATGATTATATTTACATTATAATATAATTATAGTTAATACAATGTGATAAGCATAAATGATGTTAGAAATAATTTTCTATAGTTCTATAATTACACTTAATTATAACAACTATTATTATAGCAAATCATGATTTAATATTAATAATTATTATTATAGCTAGTACTTATATAGCTCTTTAAGATTGGCAAAACACTCTACATATGTTATCTCATTTGATTTTACAATGATTTTTTCACTAGAAAAGTTCATTACTTTTGGTCATCAGGCAGTGAATGTTTCAGATATACCAACTCCTAAAGACTATCTACCATTAGTGACTGCAAAGATGAATTCTTTGATCCTTGAAGCCATGATGTGACATCATACTATTTTATGTTTCCTTAGGGTATTAAAGTTGACAAAGATTTTTCACATATATTATTGAATTTGATCTGTGGCTAACATATTTGGGTTTACACTATCAAACTTCACAATTAAAGATAAACATATTCACTCTAGTTTTCTCTGTACATTCAAATTCTTTGACATAGGAAACTACATTCTAACAAATTATTTAGTAGATATACATGGAGACACAGGGTTGGGGGAAGCATAATAAAAATGAATTTGTTATTACAATTGCCAATAGAGAAATCACTGGTTAAGCTATCGGTGCTTTGGTTATAAAGTGAAGTGATATACTTCCATATTCCTCTCTCACTGTAAGACTATATAATATACAATTTTTAAGTCTTATTGAAAAAATCATACTTAGAAGAGTGGCACCATCTTTGTGGCAGACACTAGATTTTCCTTCTTTAAAGTTGTATCTGGAAATGAAGGATTTACTTAGCTTTACTTCCAGTGGCATAAAACAAAAGGAGCCAAAGTTCAAAGGCAAGATGAACCATGACATGTACAGAGGCCAATGATAAGACTTACCTGACTGAAGCAAAAATGTTGCCCTTTCTATGCTAGACTATTAATTCAGGTTGGGCTTTCCTTTCTCTTTGATTCTAATTTCTTTGATTTCTTTAATTCCTTTTCCATGAGCTAGCTGACTTTTAAAATAATATATTAATTTGTTTTAATTCATGCATGAAAGCTGGATGAAAAAGGTTTAACTGAGACAAGTTTAAAATAGCAAACCAGGGTTAAAGGATCAATGATCTAGATCTGGAAGAGACCAGAGATCATTGAGATCAACCCTCTCATTTTACAGAGGAGGAAATAGAGACTTGGGAATGGAAATGATTTGCTCAAGGTTAAACAGATAGTACTGGAGGGCAGGATTTGAATCAAGGTCTTTGACTCAATCAACAAGCATTTATTAAGCACCTAAAATAAGCCAATGAATGAAATAATCCCTACACTGACTTCAGGGCCAAGTGTTCTTTCTGTTATATCCTGTAGTCTCTACAACTCCTAGGCTCGGTTTTTTTTTAATGAACATTTTACATAATCCTAAGTAGTCCAGAGAAGTAGAATAATGCTTTATTACATGTTTTAATATATTTTAAGAAGGAGGGGATTAAAACAATATAAGACAAATAGTGTCTCTGGTTTTGCAGTTTGGAAATGCTGTATGATATAGACTTCTGAAATTTAACCTTCCACTCTTCCCTCGCTAGTCTTAGTTCTCAGAGCTCATCCACTACATGCCATCAGCTTTTGTCCTTAGGTGTATTAGGCCTATATGAGAACTTCCAGGTCTGTCCTGTATTCTAGCCATATACTTTCCATTACCTATAGACTATCTCCATGGAGGGCAAAGCCATTGTGTCCTATCTTAGCATCTTCCTTTCATCTCCTAGCTCTCCCATTCCTTTCAGTGTTAGAATATTCTGCTCATCTCCTAGCCTAGATATCATGTAATCACCTTTTATCCTTCATTCCTTTTCCTAACTAATCCATCCCTAAATTCTTCTTTCAAAATCACTCTGCAATTTACTCTGCTCTATTCTCATAGCTGAAAGATAGATCTGTTATCTATTCATACCTACCACACTGTGAAAGCCTCTTAGCTTTCGGTTTCTTTGCCTTCAACTCTGCGTCCCATCCCCCATCCATCTTCCATATTGCTGCCAGATAAATTTCTTTAAACAGTATTCCCGTTGTATCATTTCCCAACTTTGTAATCTACTGTGACTTCCTGTTTTCTTTTATCCAGACACATCTGCCTGGCTGTCCAAGCCCTTTATAATCTGGCCCCACCATTCCTACCCAACTTAATTTCTTCATGATTCCCCCATAAATATCCTCCACTTCAGTCAGAGCAGTAATTTTAATCATATGCTGATTAGCATGATTAGTTCATGCTAATTGATATACTTTAATGATTATCATTAATTATATTCTATTAATTATTATTAGTAATAATAATTTGTTATTGTAGCTAGCATATGTCAGGTCAGTTTTGTTCCTTGTAAGGAAATTATCTACTTATACAGAAGAGCAATCCCCAGAAGAGTATCCTGCTCTTCATTTTTGAGCCTGTACTTGATCCATTATCCTGATAAGAGGTCATGCAGTTTCAGAATGAAGATCTCTAAAGACCTTTTAATGGGTTTAAGTCCCACTTTGGCCACTTGCTTTGGACAAGTCATTTCAGTTCTGGCCCTCATTTTCCTCATCTGAAAAATGAAGGGTTTGCACTAGATAACTGGTAAAACTCATTATAATTATAACTTTCTGTGACTCTGGAATTATTGTAAAGAAGCCAACTTTCCCCATGTTTCCATGGTGAAGGGACTCCCCCTGCCTACAGCGAAACAGTTTTGGGTTTATGTTCTCCACTGAATCCTCCAGAAGTGATAGTACATATTACATATAAATTCATATGCTACATGGCTATAACCTATAATTGCTTTGCTATATTTCAGGCCCAAACTGTTTTGCAGAAACCACTGTCATTCCTGCTGGAAGAGAAGTGAAGACAGATGAATGCACTATATGTCACTGTACTTATGAAGAAGGCACTTGGAGAATTGAACGGCAAGCAATGTGTACCAGACATGAATGCAAGCAAATGTAGAAAATCTACAAATCCAAGTACTCTAATGTTTTGGGGTTTTGTTTTGTTTTTTTACAAAAAAAAATTCACTTCAGATGACCCTGGGAAACATGAATAAAAATGAGAAGATTTTTGATGAGAAATAATGGAAAAATACTGGTATTTTGGTTTTCATAGTAACACGATTACTGCAGATCAAAGAAATGAAGATATTGAAAAGAAAAAAAAAAACTTTTGACATAAAATTCCTGTCTAAATAAATGTGCTATTTTCACAGTGAGTACACTGAAGTACACTGTTAAATATTAATGTATTTCTTTAATCCCATTAGAGAGCTTATATTAAATGTTTTCTATAGATACAGATTAAAAAGCAGTATTGTCAACTGTCCCTACTGTGCATCTGCATACCTATTTCTGTTCTGATTTGATCAAATGGGCACCTCTGTTACTGATAACATTCAAACACATGTGGTGATTTGGGAATCAGAAAATATCAAGTTACCAGGACTTTGAAATACTCAGTTGCAAACCTATTATAATATAAGCAATCACATTCTTTGTTTTAACATTAACATTTCTAATGTTTATCTTCTGAAGAGCAGTTTTCAATCACATACATGAAACATTTCCCTCTTAAAATATTTTGCTGCTTTAACATTTTCTTTCTCTATCTTTTGGGAAATTGAGGTACAGAAATTACAAAATGCTATTCAAGTTCATGATATCTGATAAAGCTTCAGTCTCAAAGCTCTTAAAGGGAGTTGTCTTAATCTTGAGAATACATGTTATTTTCAAGCATAATCAGATTTTCTATTAACTCAAACGGATCAACCAAGACAGGGGTAGGAGAACCAGGACAGCTGGAAGGGCTGGAATCCTTTTATTACTGTTTTATAATACTAAGACATGCAGAACCACAGGGGGATATCAACAGTCTTTAATTCAATGCCACAAGCATTTATTAAGCACCTATTGTATGCTAGGCCCTAAGCTAGGTGCAGCTATATAAAACAAAAACTGTCCTTGCCTTCAAGGACCTTATGTTCTTTTAATACTTAAATCACACATATGAATATAAAAATGAGATATTTTATTGAATAAAAGAAAAATAATAGTCCTTTCTCACATGTTTTATAATTTAATTGAAAACAAAATATGGCCTAACATGTTTTGTTGCAGATATTAAAAATAAGAATTGGAGTGTATCTTCCAAAAATAGTTATAAACTGACATAACATACTTTATAACATATATATTAACCTTGTCCATCAACAAGCCCTACAAAGCTGTTCTACTGTTCCCTTAGCCCAATTATTCTACACTCAATAAAAATAGATGTAAAACAATTACACGCTAAAACATACAGTTGAATACAATTGCCAGTTCTAATTCACTTCCATAATACTCCCTAAGGAGAAAAGAGCCAATGTACCAATTCATTCCAAAGCAAGAAACATTTATTAAGTGCCTCCTATATTAAAGGCATTATGGTAAGTGCAAGGATGAATACAAAGGAAAAAACAAATTGTCCCTGCCTTTGCGGAGTTTACATTTCCCTGAAACACATGAGAAGTGACCAACATCTATTTTAGGAGAGGATTCCATACCTAAGTAGACCCATGCCCACCATAGTGAGGTTTAGGAACAGATGACTACCAAGGTCTTTTCCAACTTGGTGATTCTATAAGATTTGGAATATGGTTGCAAAGGAGATCATGTCCTTAGGACAGAGAGGATCAGATTGGAGTGAGTTGTCATGACCTCACATCAGTTTTTAAAGAGAATGTATTTGCTGAAATAGAAATTCTCCTGGTGAAGTTTCAAGTGAGATTAAAGTTGATTCATGGTCAGAAGGTGTTAAAATGTAAACCAAATATATGCTCATGCCTGACTCCTGCAGAGATTAATTCCAGGAGATAAAGTTGAATAGATCTGATTGAACCATAGAAGAGCCCCCCCTGTCCCCTCTAGAGTTTAAGCACAGATTTTCTTCTTTTCCTTTTTTTTCCCCCCTTGAGTATCCTCAGTCTGCACCACTCTCTTTCCTAGAGACCCAGGAGCTATGTGTAAACCAGAACTGATGCTAGGGCTTGGATTAAAGTTTGAAAATACTTGCCTTAATGTAAAATAGTATTGTTTGCATTTGTACAGCTGAAGTGTCTGTTATTTTTGATGGTTCATTCTTGATATTGGCTTGAATATTTCTATATAAAATAAATACACATGCAAACATAGGCAGTATATACCCATATCACTCAGTAATTTTCTTCTTTATAAAGCTATAGTTGCTTATTCAACAGTGGATTTTATCCTTCTCTCCAAATATATTACACTTATCACACACATTCAGAAACAAGAAGAAGGTTAGATTGGTTCTTACTTGTATTTAGAGATGCCCACCTCCACAAACTGACTTAGGCAAACACTTGATCACAGCTGAGGTGTGGGATTTCTAGACTTCAGAAAAAACATTCTGATTTCTTGAGGAGTTCCTCAGGTGTCCAAAAAAAATAACTTCTAAAAGCTCTAGTTTTGAATAAAAAATCTTAAATTCCAAATGGCCCTACAGATAAGTGCCTCTTCAAAAATAAAGTGATGTTCAATGAATTTCTTTCATTTTGACCAAAATGAAAAGACTTTAAACAATTTATTTGAATAATTAATTGCCTTTTTCATCCATATCCAACAAGAATGCCTCAGTTGGATGAAAATCTGCAAGTTTTGTAATTTGACTTATTCATGAGCACAAGAGCTTTCAGTGCTGACTTTTTAAAATTCTCGTCAGAATTTACACCTTTATTTCTCAGAGATCCTGGGAAGAGTGATAGTTTGCTATTTTATCATCAATAATTTAAAAAGCATTTATTAAGTACTTACTATGGTCCAAGGCACTTGCCCTTTTATATAAAGCTTTCAAAAAGGCTTAAGACTGCACCATTATGAACATACTGCATAGATCCTATACTGTATAGATGGACCACATTCTCCTGGCATTCCAAGCATCCCAAGAAGTTCCTTGAGCCAAGATTTCACACTGAGCTACGAATCACCTGAGAATTCCTAATCTCTACAAGTCATGATCATTTTTTATGCAACATTAAAACAACCGGTAAGTTCACTAAAAAATTCCATCAGATCTGAGGGTTGATGTGTAGTCCAAACAGCTATTAAAATAAGGTTTTTACTTTTTAACTAATTGTTAAAGCTTTCACTTTCTAACCAATTGTTTTAGCATCACGCAGGTATGGTACAAGTCTAATGATAATTGAACTCAAATTCCAATTTCATTACTTCTACCATGATTGATTTAAATAAGGACATGGATAAAATTAATCTGGCCTTAGCTCAGTTTGGGTAAATTGAAATGATGCATGTGTTAGTAGGGAAAGCATCAGAGTGATTTGTCACATGCAACCTGTATACCTCTAATAAATGGTTTGTGTTCCTTTTATTAACATCGTAGAGTTATAAAATATCAAAGCTAGAAGGAATTACACAAATCACATCTTTTACCTATGGGGAAACAGGCTTACAGAAGGAAAATGGCTTTTCTAAGGTCTGTGTTGGTAGCAGGGCTGGAAGGAGAATGAGAAGGCTTTGTAACTTTATGATCTGATCTTTATGTTTGTATACACACACACACACACACACAGAGATGTATATATATATATATATATATATATATATATATATATATATATATGAACTCTTTTCTCAATTGGTAGTACTCTCTAACACTTTTCTGCTTCCTAAAGTGGGCATAGATAACCACATTTCTACAGATTACAAATGAAGTAATAGATATATAGATGATGGATGGATAGATAGGAAGAAAGATAAGTGATAGCTAACAAGCTATACATACATATACATGTATCCACCACGTTGATGGATAACTTTCCATAGCAGAAGTTCTCCACACATAAGAACCTCTGTGTGTGTGTGTGTGTCTCAGAACAGACTCTTTATATCTCTCTCCAAACATATACAAGCTAGATATTATTATTATGCATACATGTATAGAAAGAGAGCTATTTTCCACAGGGAATCTAGATAGAAAAGCCAGTCTTGGGTGGGGAATGGGAGGGAGATAAGTCCTGGTATAGAAACTACATATATAATGTGATATATGTGTATTATATATTACATAATTCACTATGTATTAAATATATGATAGAAATTTGTTGTATAATATATAGTTTGGTATATAATTACATAATATATAATCCAGCATATAGTAATTATATAAGATATAATTCAGCATATATTCACATACACACACAAGAGAAAGAGAGAGAGAATATCTATTATTATTGAGCAGGTCCAGGAAAGTGTCTTGCCAATATGGAAGTTACTACCAACAACACAGATTAGCAAGTCATCTGTAATTTCACTTCTTAGTGAGTTGCATGAGAATACTGAGAGGCATTGTAATATAGGTAGAACATATCAGGGGCAGGACTTGAAAACAGTTTCTGACTTCAAAATCAGCTTTCTATCCACTCTTCTGGATGGCCCCTCATCTATATACACAGAGGAATAGGGACTAGATGTGTGATTTCATTGATAGGGACACTCTTGGATCAGGAAACTGTCTCTACCAATGCATCATATAGTCTTAAAGAGTTGCCTACTGCTAAGGGCTTAATTGACTTGCCCAGGATCACACAGTATTTTTATGCATATGAATATATGCTTATGTATGTATAGGTTTGTATGAAATTAATGAATGTCTTTATTTATAAATATATCCATTCATTTCAAATGAAATTATTGAAAACCACTTGTTCTATGCTCTGACGACCACTTCAACAACAACGAAGCCATCCATGAAATGTCTGTGAGATGAACAGATGCAGATAACATCATTAAAATATTTACGGTGGCACATCTTTTATTTTTACTTGTTTTTCAAACAGAGAGAATCTGAGATACAAATCCCCTGAGTACTTAAATGTATAGCCTGTTGATATGTAAATTAAGATGAACTATGGTACAATTTTGCTGATAATTTCCTGAACATGCACATGAAGAGTTTGGGGTTTTGTTCTGTTTTGTTTTTCTTCAGATGAGTTTCTAATGTTAAAAAAAACCAGTT